AAATGACTAACAAATATCACAAGAATAAACCCAAACATAATCTTCAAGAATCTAGAGTACCCAACATATTTGAAACTAACTAGAAAATCAAAGAATTAGGTTTGTTGTGTATCAGATCTAATGCAAATTGAGATAAACAGGATTTCTATCTCAAAAAATTCTTATTTGGTTCATAAGAATAATAAAATGTAGTCTTCTTTGAAGGTATGAAAGATGGACTTTAATACATGTAGATTCAAATTTTTCATATTTAAATTATAGTTAAATAAATATCTATCATGATTATATCATAAATAAATAAATAAATAAGACCCTTAATTATTATCACAGTTGAACCATAATTAACTTACAGTCTCTATAAACTTATGACAGCTTGGAGAATAAATAGCTCAACCCAAGTGAAGTATCATAACAACCACCACCAATCTGTCAAAAAGGAGTGAAAAATATTAGACTATAGATGAGGACAACAAAGATGAAATAAAATAAAATTCACAATTTAAGATTGTACCAAACTTAACCTTAAGCTTAGTACTACGCAAAAGACTTGTATGAACATGATCTTATCATATTAAGATAAATTATATTTGGAAGAACATTCTACCATAACTATTCCTTATTGAAACTAGGTAAGGTTCAAGTTGATGTTGCGATAAGATATTCAATGTGGTGAACAGAAGAGGTACCTGCAAAAAAAAATTAGCACTCCAACGCTCAAGGTAGTAGATGAATAAGGTGAAACTTAAAAAATATGAATAAAAGAATACTTGACTTTGACATGAAGTCACACTTATATAGTGGAGATGGATATAACTATCTTTGATTTGTTCAGTGTGAAATGTAGACGACTTATAGTTGTAGATCAACGGTTTAGAAGGAAGGGGGTCGTGTTCTTGTAAGTTGTCCAAGAGTGAGAGTTCACTTTATTTTGCAAACTCTTACTAGATTAAACATGAAGATCGGGGCAAGTCTTAAAATAAAAACGTAAAAGAACTTAATAACATCACCAAATCATTAGCATACTCCAAAGTTAAAACCAACAAATTCCAAATCAAACTTCATTCAGAAAACTAAAAAAATCAACCTAAAAAGATGAAGATAAAAATAGTATGTTTACACTGCAGGAAAATAGATTCATAATTCACCACATATGTCTTTCAATAAATATTAGTTACCATATAAGGATTCATTTTAGAAATATGATTAATATGATATCGTTCTTGGATATTGTTTTGGGAATTGAAAATCAGGAAAGGTTCTGGTTATTACAACTAGCTGAACATCAAATAGATTTTTAATTATAACTTACCATATAAGAATAGTAATAGTAGAACCATTTGAAATATACTTACTTACCATGCAGAAATCACATAAACAATAAAAACTGAACGCTCAAAGAAGAACTTGAAATAACAAATGCACTAAAATTGCATAGTAGTTTAAACAATAACAAATTAAGAAATAAGGTGTTTATATACAAATAGAGATCTTTACATTTAAATCTAGAAATAGGCTGAAAATATATGACACAACAAAACATTTATGCTTTGGAACAATTGCCATCAAATTGCAGATTTTGGATTTCAAAATTAGCCACAATTTACTAAACACCAGATCGAGATACTTTGCCAAATGTGCCCAAAAAGATATTCATCGAAAACAAAAGCCTCAACTATGCTGTCCATCTTATGAGATAAATTGAGTTTTCTAAAAAATCTTGCTTACTTAATCCTACCATGTCAGACAATCAAAAGATGACTGAAAAAGTGCACCAGTAGAAAAAATGTCAAACATTGTCACAAGGTTGTGGTAAATCTTCACAACAACTTTAACAGCCCACAAATAGGATCTATAACTCCGATGATAAAAATTACACATTCTTAGAAACAGTGACTGAAATGTACATGACTCGAATTCCTTAGAAAATATCTTACTGTCCATAGAAGCTGATGGTTCCAATAATGAATTTTGATGCCCAATGAAATCCTTATAGGAAAGGAATTCCTATTCCTATACATTATAAATAACAGAAACAAACAGTAAAAGAGTACAAGAAAAACACTAGATGGAGTAAACGAGAAGAGATACACTCCACAATTATGTTCACACCAATGTGTGCGTGAAATCAAGGGGGACTTTTGTGGAACAAATATATACAGGTAGCCTACATGAATTGTCATTGTCACCACATTAACAAACCAAAGCTTGATGCTACAAAGAAATTAATTGCTTCAACACAATAAGCCTGGTGAAAATCCTGATAACGAAATACAAAATATTTCAATGATGAATTTAGAAAGAAATTAAGTGTCACAAACTCACATGTCCAATAACTCCCACGGGACCAGTTTTCAATATTTTTGGACTTGCCATCGACTACAAGAAGTCTGATAATTTGAGATTGAGAAATATTTTCCCTCATGCTAAATAAGCAATCAAAGATAATATTTTGATTTAATACATAGACATCCACAAATCCTAATAATTCCAACAAACCTAGATGAACACATCCTCACCAGATCTTGAGAAGACTTAAGACTTAGGGTTGCTCATGTTTTGAAACTACACTGCATGCACATGATAGCTTTTAGAGCTTTTCACAAATTGAATTTCGAATCTTATGACATGAAAATGTCCAAATTGGGACTACTTTAGCCAAGAAAACAGCATACCAGCATCTGTTTCAGGGTAGAGTTATTGGCAAGCCTAATGAAAACTGATATACTGAAGGTGATAAAATAAGAACAAATTCCAAAATTGAAACCCGCAAGGAAAATGACTTCATATTGTATTCAGGAAATCAATAACATTAACGAACAAACAATGGAAGATAGATCCCAAAGAAATCACGTGGGCAAAATTCTCCTACAAACACAGAAATCAACATTGCCATCAAAATAGAAAATATTGCAATCCATAACAAGTAAATTAAATCCATAAAATGGCCTGTTTTATCCTAAGGCTCACAGAATGTCCTTGATAATCTCGCTTTCGCAGTTCATATACTCCCTGTGACACCCACATGGAATTTAAGGAATCAAGAAAACTAGAATCCCAAGATATAGAAAAGACAAGAGTTCATATTCAGAGTATAGATCACCAGATAAAAACATAATAACTGATAATATATACCACAACCAATTGCAAATTGGTGCTCCATGTGAAACGGAAAAAATTTAGACTTCCCCACTTCGACAAATATCCATTTGGGAGAGTGGTAACAATCAGAAAAAAAGTGAGCCCTACCAAGTTGTCAAGTATTCATTGGCTCGGGCAGAAAGATGTACTCTAGTCTAGAATCTTGTATGCTTCAATATTATGCTTCTGCTACAAAAATACAAAAAATCCAACACTCTCATAGCACAGAGTCAAACAAAATACAGATATCATAAAAAAGAAGGATTGTATCCCAATGTTACAAGAATAGTATGTTAACATTTATTTCCTCTGGCCACAGGCCGCGACACTTTCATAGGTTGTCTCTGTCTCCCCTATAAGACTCGCATAAAATTCAAATGAATTCAAAATTGCCGATTATCAAACACACTGAAATGTTAATTGTGTTTCTTAGTAGAAATGACCAAATTAAAGTATGCAACAGAACCTCTGAAGACATGATGGTTCCCGGACACAAACTTCCAGCCAATTTTTGCTAGTACTTGTATTGTACCCAATTTGAAACATGACAGTTAGAGCTTCCACATAATACCAAATGAGCTATTGGGCCTACATCATAAATCAGAAATAAGAACATACCCCAGTGATCAGAAAACGTTATGTATCCTTAATTACTCTTTCACCGGAGATAATTTATACAAAGAAGCAGATACACTTATCTCCAATTTCTCCCCTATAGACCAACTAAAATGGTGGGAATATGATTCAGAATTAAGAAAACTTTTGTCGTACAGCAAACTTACTGTCAGCAACAGACAATAAATGTACAGAAAAATTAAACGGACAGATAGGTTGTAGAAAAAGAACCAAGAAGAACGAAAGAATATAGCATAAATCTCCAAACCGTTGCAGATCAACATAACAGAGAGGTCCACCAATTTATCCAAATGTCTCAAATATTATGTAAACTTTTGCGCTTTCTAAATACAAAAACCCAAATGTAGGTCAAACATTTGTAAGAAAAAAGTAGTATAGATGTCAAGAAACCTTAAGACTGAACTTCTCAATTAAACATCAATAGACTAAAAAAAACTAAAACATCCAATTGGAAAACATCAATAGACTAATCAAAACTAAAACATCCAATTGGAAATCATAAAGGAATAAATAAGACTAGATGAAAAGAATCAACAGAGAAGAAATCAAATGAAAAAAATTTGAGTACCAAAACAAGGCTTGATATAACACAACCAACAAAATATTTTTGCTAGGAACAATTTCCATCAAATTGAAGATTTTGGAGGTCAATATGAGCCACAATTTACCAAACACCAGATGGGGATACTTGGCCAAATATGCCAAAGAAGATATTCATCGAAAACATAAGCCTCAACCACGCTGTTCATCTTACAAAATGAAACAAGTTTTCTACAGAATCTTGCTTAATTAATCCTGGCAGGTCAGATAATCAAAAGATAACTAAAAAAAAATACACAAATAGAAAAAATGACCAATTCTGTCGCAAGGTTGTGGTAACCTCAACAGCCACTTTTAACAACCCACAAATAGGACCTATAACACCAATGATAAAATCAAAGAGAATTAAAATTGCACATTCTAAGTAACAAACACTTAAAACAGCCACTTCAACAGCCCACAAACAGGACCTATAACACCAAATGTTTTTGAATCATATGACATGCGAATGTCCAAAGTTTTACGAAACACAAGTTCAAATAAAGTGGAACTACTTTAGCAAAAAAAACAGTATACCAGCTGCTGTTTCAGAGTAGAGTTACTGGTAAGCCAAATGAGAACTAATATATCGAAGATGATAAAATAAGAATGAATTCACAAACTGATGAAGATAGATCCCGAAGAAATCACATGGTCAAAATTTTCTCCTACAATCACAGAAACCACCAACATTACCACATTACACCATAAAAACATAACTTCAATCCATAGCAAGTACATTTAAGGAAAAAATGGCATGTTTTATCCTTAGGGTCAAAGCATGTCCTTGATAATCTCACTATTCACAGTCCATATACTCTCTGACACCCACATAACATTTAAGGAATCAAGAAAAAAATCCCAAGATAAACAGAAAAGAGAAGAATCCATATTCTGAGTATAGAACACCAGATAAAAACATAAGAACTGTGATAATATATTATCAAAGCCAATTGCAGATTGGTGCTCCATGTGAAAGGGAAAAAATTTGGGCTTTCCTACTTCGAAAAATATCCATTTGTGATTATTCTTATTCTTATATATAACACAAATGATTATTCTTATATATAACACAAATGACAAGAATGTAGTAAAGTTATCATAACAAAAGAAGTGGCTAACAGAAAAAAAGTGATCCAAACCAAATTGTCAAGAATTCCTTGGCTCGGGCAGAGAGATGTACTCTAATCTAGAATCTTGTATGCTTCAATATTATGATTCTGCTACAAAAATACAAAAACTCCCAGAACAGACCATCTAAAAAACATAGATATTGGAAAAAAGAAGGGATGTATCCCAACGTTGCCACAGGCCACATGCCGCAACACTCCAGACTTTCATAGGTTGTCTCTGTCTCCCCTATAAGACTCGCACAAAATTCAAAGGAATACAAAATTGCCGAGTATCAAACACACTGAAATGTTAATTGTCTTTCTTATTAGAAATGAGCTATTTGCAAGTACACCCAATATGAAACATGACAGTTTAAGCTTCCATCTAATACCAAGTGAGCTATTGGGCCTGCATCATAAATCAGAAATAATAGCAGACCCCAGGGAACATATCGCAAAACATACTTAACCAAGTTGTCAAAGTTAAACTCTGACCTCTAGGTTGTAGAAAAAGAACCAAGAAGAAAGAAAGAATATTATATGATTCTCCAAACCAAGTTGAAGACCAGCCTAACAGAGAGAGGCCCGCAAATTTGTCCGAATGTCTCAAAAATTAAGTAAGCTTTTGTGCTTTCTAAATACAGAAACCCAAATGTAAACAAACATTTGTAAGAAAAAAGTAGAATCAATGTCAAGAACCGTTAAGACTGAACTTTTCAATTAAACATCAATAGACTAATAAAAAATAAAACATCCAATTGAAATCACAAAGGAATACCAATATAAACTCGAGGCTTGAATACTACACATCCTAAATTAGAGCCATATTTCAATTCACATGTATTGCGATAAAAGCCAAAACAAAATCAAACCTCAAAATCAAGACACCAGAAAGAAATCAGAATACAAAACAGGAAGATAATATGCTCCAGAACTACCTTTCCTGCAACACCAGAGGAAATAAAAGATCAACAATAATATGCTTTTAAAAGGGATAAAGAATTATTGAAAACTAAGATTTTAAAAGAGATCACCAAATAAAAACTCAGGCTCCATGCTATATTGAAAATTGTTTTGATAAACCAAGCTGCAGAAAAACAAGTTTAGAATTCAAATCGCATGTCTTGTGATCAAAGTCTCAATAAAAATAACAAAGAATGTCTCCTTTGTATGTCTTGTGATCAAATTCTGAAAATAAAGTTAATAAAGAACGACTCATTTCTATAACCATTATCGTTCTTATCCATTGTAATAAAGAATTACAAACTGCGCCAAATACATAGAAATCAATTCGCTGCAATACAGATAAGTGCATGTCAACATTCCTTTAATTTTAACAGCACTGAACGGTTAACTTTAACATCATTTATTGAACTATTATCACCATTATTTGATATCAATTTGCAAGGGAGTAAATAGAGAAAACAAGAACATAATGAGTAAATCGAGAAAACAAAACCATAAAGGAATAAATTGAGAAAACAAAACCATAAAAGAGTAAATCGAGAAAACAGGGCAATAAAACTATATAGAAGAAATAAAATGAAAAGAATTCTCCATCCAAGAGTATATTTATAAAAAAAAAATCTGATTGCTTGATTATATATTGCTTGATACTACACACAACAATATTGTTGCAAAACACAACAGAAAAAAGTACAAGGGAGTTGCCAATAAAAGCAAAATAAAAAGAAATATTGAAAATAAAAAGAATTTGATAGAGTTCACCAAATCAAAAATCAAAATGCTAAGCTCAAGGTTATTGGTTGGACAACCACGCTACATAAAACCACTTTTAGAAATCAATTTGTATGCCAACAAATTAAACACAAAATACCCATATGTACACAAAGAATAAATAGTTGACGTTAAAAGAACATTCATTTAATACCCTAATAATAATAATAGTAGACAATAACTTACAAGGTCAAAACTAACAAAACAAATTAAACCTAAGATTCAAGAAAACCAAAAAGTCAACAGCCATGAACATCAAAACAAGAGGAGAATAGAACAAGAAGAAATCGTGCGGATCCTGCAACACCAAAGAGTAAACACCAAATCAAAGAAGATATTCTTAGAGAATCGATAAAGAAATATTGAAAATAAAAAGAATTTGATAGAGATCACCAAATCAAAAATCAAAATGTTAAGCTCCATGCTATGAAGGAGGTTATTGGTTGGACAACCACGCTGCATAAAAACACTTTTAGAAATCAATTTGTATGCCTTGCGATCAAAGGCCAGAAATAAAAATAGCAAAAAAAGACCCATTGAAAAAAAATTTGATTTAGCTATCTGGGGGTTATTTTCTGTTCATGTTGTTGTATCAAGACATTCTGCATTTAAATGAAGAATTAAATATAAATAATAGAAACAATTCTAGTCAACAAATGTGTAAGAGAGTCGAGAGAAGTATGATTGTGTGAACAAGAACAAGTAACTTTATAATCAAGAAATCGAAAACACATCCCCTCCTGCAACACCAGAGAATAAAAAGTCAAGAAATCAAAAATCACATCCTCTCTGGCAACTTAAAAGAGTAAATAACAAATCAAGAAATATATGGTCTACGGAAAACTATAAACTAAAAAAATCTACAAAAGATGCCCTAATTAAGATCGAGGATCTCATGCAATGAAGGTTATTAATTTGAAAAATCGAACTGCAGAAGATATGTTCACAGTTCATTTGGAATGTCTTGAAATCAAACAAAAAATTTAAAAATAACAAACAACGGATCATTGAAAAATTGAATTACATTGGTTTTATCTTGAGTTGTTCTCCACAGCTTCCGCAATCCTGTAACACTCAGATGGAACACCCAAAAAGACAGAAACAAGAAACAAAAAAAAAAGCTGTCCAGTAAAGAAGAAATCAAAAAACAGTGAAAATAGAAGACATACATTAGAATCAAGGAATCAAAAGTACATCCTTTCCTGCAACCCCAAAGAATACATAACAAGTTCTTATGCTCTAGAAAGAATCAAGAAATATTAAACAAAAAGAATTTACAAGAGAGGGCCAAATCAAAACACGAGGCTCTCTTGCAATGAATGTTGTTAATTTGATAAAATCTGCAACCAAAATGAAAAACATGTTCACAGTTCATTCGAATGTCTTGACATCAAAACAAAGAAAAAAAATAACAAAGGACAAATCACTAAAAATATTTGATTTCTCTGTTGTAGTTCTTAGGTTCTTATCTGTTGTATAAAGAAAACTAGATTCCAAAAGACAAAAACATAAAGAATTCATAGTCAGAGTAGAGATCACCAAATAAAAGGATAACAATGAAAATATATATGTCACATCCAATTACAAATTAGTGTTTTTGTGAAACAACAAACTTAATGTCTGAAAAGTCAGACAAATTTAAGAAAAGCCAGACTCAACACACGAGTGTGGATCCTCTAACTTCATTGAGGGAACTGCACCTTACCTTTCACTAGCTCTTCTTCAAAATAACACAATTTCTCTCTAATGTTTTCCCTCCATTTGTTCACCTCTTTTTCACTTCTCTCTCATGAAATAATCCTAAAGTTAGGAAAAGTTAGAGAATAAGAAGTTAGAGAATTTGCTTCCCGAAAACACATCTAAAAGGTTAAATATGTATTAAGTCAATGTTATTAATGAAAAATTAAAGACTAATTTTAATTACAATATTTTTAATTCTTTAATAATAGATGGCTAAATGAAATTTAAATACTACCATTTATATGTAGTGGTGTCGATGTACTATGTTTTTGACATTATCGATGTCGGAGTGAAGATGTTGTGTCAGACGGTGCTTTATAAGTTAAATATGTATTAAAGCAATATAATTAATGAAAAATTAAAGAATAATTTTAATTATGAGATTTTTAACTCTTTAATAATAGATGAATAAATGAAATTTAAATACTATCATTTATATGTAGTGGTGTCAATGTACTATGTTTTTGACATTACCGACGTCTGAGTGACAATGTCGTATCTTGGTCAGATTCGGTGTTTTATAGGATATAAGTCCCTAACAATAGAAACACACAAAAGCTTCAACACCAGAAGAAACACAAACTTCAACAACAACTTGTACAATATCAAAAGGCAAACTTCAAGAAAGATATGCTCTCAGGATTGGAAACAAAAATAATTTAATACAGATCACTGAATCAAAAAGCTAGTTGTTGTGCATGCTTTGAAGAAGGTTATTATTAAGACAAACCAAACTGCAGAAAAACATTTTCAAAATTCAACTTGCATGTCTTGTAATAAATGACAGAAAAAGAATCATTGAAATCTAATTTATCTATCTGGAGCTGTTCTCTGTTCTTGTGTGTAGTATCATGAGGTTTTAGATATGAAGGAAATCCTTGCCTCACTGCAAAATGGATATACATATCTCTTAATTATCAAATGAAAACATGTGTCAAGTCAGTTTCATGTGTGTGCTTCATACATTATATCTATACCCAATTCCATTAATAAAATAATTGATGCAAAATTATAAATATTCTGTATTGAAACAATGTAAGGTTGAAGATGACTGTTGCTGTAAGACTTCCGGTGTAGTGGTCAGAGGGAGTACCTGCAAAAGGTTAGCATTCCAACGCTCAAATTAGTATGTGAATGAGATGTAACTTTATAAATGAGTGAAAAAATACCTGGTTGTGACATAGAGTCACACTTATATAGTGGAGACGGTTATAACTATCTCTGATTTTCCCAACATGAAGTGTTGACAACCGTAGTTGTCGATCAACCGTTGAGATGATCGTGTTTTTGTACGTTATAAATGAGATGTAACTTTATAAATGAGTGAAAAAAATACCTGGTTGTGACATAGAGTCACACTTATATAGTGGAGACGGTTATAACTATCTCTTAGTTGTCCAACATGAAGTGTTGACAACCGTAATTGTCGATCAACCGTTGAGATGATCGTGTTTTTGTATGTTATAAATGAGATGTAACTTCATAAATAAGTAAAAACATACCTGGTTGTGACATAGAGTCACACTTATATAGTGGAGACGGTTATAACTATCTCTTAGTTGCCCAGCATGAAGTGTTGACAACCGTAGTTGTATATCAACCGTTGAGACGATCATGTTTTTGTACGTTGTCCAAGAATGAGAGTTCATATTTTGCACGACCTTACTAGATTAACCTAAAGATTGAGACAAGTCTTAAAACAAAACCTAAATGAACTCAATAACTTCATTCAAACCAAAAAAACAAAATCAAACCTCATTCAAACCAAAAAAACAACCTCAAAAGATGAAGTAAAAATAGTATGCACATCCTGAAATATAAAAAGAATTTACCATAGATCACCAAATTAAAACTAAGGCTGCCATGAAGAATGTTTATATTTTAAAAAACCACACTACAGAAAAATAGATTCATAATTCACCGTTTATGTCTTTCAATTAGAATTAGAAATGAAGGAGGATTCATTTTAGAAATTAGATTTATATGATTTCATTCTTGGTTATAATTTTGGGAATTAAAAATCGGGAAAGGTTTTGGATATTCCAACTAGATGAACATCAAATAGATTCTTAATAACTTACCATATAAGAATAGTTATAGTATAACTACTTGAATTATAATTATAACTTATCATACCCAACCAAAAAAACTGAACGTTTACAAAAGAAATTGAAATAACAAATGCACTAAAACTGCAGAGTAGTTTAAGGAATACGGTATTTTAGATACAAAGAGATCTTCAAATTAAAATATAGAAATAGGGGAAGAATATATGACAACCAAAAAAATCGTTATGCTTGGAACAATTGCCATCAAATTGCAGATTTTGGAACTCAATATAAGCCACAATTTACCAAACACCGGATGGAGATACTTTGCCAGATGTGCCAAAGAAGATATTCACCGAAAACAAAAGCTTCAATCACGCTGTTTATCTTACGAAATGAAACGACTTTTCTACATAATCTTACTTAAATCTCAGCAGTTACTTTAACAGCCTGCTGATAGGACCAATAACAACAATGATAAAAATCAAACAGAATTAAAATTACACATTTTTAGAAACTCTGGCTGAAATGTACATGACTCAAATTCCTTAAAAAATATTTTACAGTCTGCAGAACATGATAGCTCCAATAATGAATTGTGGTGCCTGATGAAAATCTTAGAGGAGACGAATTCCTATTCCTATACATTATAAATACAGAAACAAACAAACAGTAAAAGAGTACAAGAATGACTATCTTTAGATTTAGATCATCAAATCAAACACGGCCACAAATTGATGAAATATAGAGAAGGTAGCAAGAAGAGATATACTCCACAATTCTGTTTAGCAATTTGTGCATGAAATCATGGGAGGACTTTTGTGGAACAAATATATACGGGTACGTTAGTAATTGTGATTGTCACCACATTAAAAAAACCAAGGCTCGATGCTACAAAGAAATTAATTTTTTCAACACAGTAAGCCTCATGAAAATCTGATAACAAAATACAAAATATTTCAGTGATGAATTTAGAAAGGAATTAGGTGTCATAAACTCACATATCCGATAAATCCCGCATGACCTTTTTCAATATTTTTGGACTTGTCACCGACTACAAGAAGTCTGATAATAATGAGTAGTCTTTCCCCTCATGTTAATTAAGCAATCAAAGATGGTATTTTGATTTAATACAGACATCAAGAAATCCTAATAATTCTAACAAACCTACATGAACACAGCCTGGTCTTGAGAAGACTTAGGGTTGGTCGTGTTTTATAACTACACTTCATTCACATGATGGCTTTTAGAGCTTTTCACAAATTCAATTTTGAATCATAGGACATGCCAATGTCCAATGTTTTATAAAACACAAATAAAGTGGAACTACTTTGGCCAAGAAAATAGCATAGCAGCTGCTGGTAAGCCAAATGAAAACTGATACATAGAAGGTGATAAAATAAAAATGAATTCCAAACTGAGGAAGATAGATCCCGAAGAAATCATGTGGTCAAAGTTTTCTCATTTAAGGAAAAAATGGTCAGTTTTATCCTAAGGCTCAAAGCATGTCCTTGATAATCTCGCCACAGCTTTTGCAGTCCATATACTCCCTGTGACACCCACATGGAATTTAAGGAATCAAGAAAACTAGATTCCCAATATACAGAAAAGAGAAGAATTCATATTCAGAGTATAGATCACCAGATAAGAACATACTAACTGTGATAATATATGCCACAGCGAATTGCAGATTGGTGCTCCATGTGAAATGGAAAAATTCGGGCTACCCCACTGACAATTATCCATTTTCCCCCACTGACAATTATCCATTTGGGAGAATGTAGTGAAACAATTATAACAAAGAAAGTAACTGAAACTGAAACAATGAACCAAACAAAGTTCACAAATTCCTTGGCTCGAGAAAGAAAGATGTACTCTAGTCTAGAATCTTGTATGCTTCTGCTACAAAAATACAAAAACTCCAACGCTCCTGGAACACACCATCAAAAATAATACAGATATCATAAAAATGAAGGGTTATTCCCAAAGTTGGAAGAACAGTATGTTAACCTCTGTTGCCACAGGCCACATCACACCAGACTTCCATAAAAATGAATGGTTGTCTCTGTTTCCCCTATAAGACTCGCAGAAAATTCAAAGGAATTCAAAATTGCCTGGTATCAAACACATTGAAATGTTAATTGTCTTAGTAGGAATGACTAAATTAAAGAATGCAACACAACCTCCGAAAACATGATGGTTCCCAAACACAAACTTCCAGCCAATTTGCAAGTACTTGTCCCCAATATGAAACATGACAATTTGAGCTTCCGCATAATTCCAATGGAGCTATTGGGCATACATCATAAACCAGAAATAACAACAGACGCCAAGGAGCGGATCGTCAAAACGTACCTAACCATGTTGTCCAAATTAAATACTACAAAATATATACCCCAGCTAGCAAAACATTTTCGATTACGTATCCTTTATTCTTTAACCGGAGATAATTTATACAAAGAAGCAGATACACTTTTCTCCAATTTCTTCACCATAGACCAACTAAAAAGGTGGGAGTGTGATTCAGAATTAAGAAACCTTTTGTTGTACAACAAACTTACACGGTCTGCAAGACGATAAATGTAAAGAAAAATTAAACTGACATATAGCTTGTAAATAAAGAACCAAGAAGAAAGAAATAATATAGCATAATTCTCCAAACCATGTTGCAGATCAACATAACAGAGAGAGACCCACCAATTTGTCCGAATGTCTCAAAATTATGTAAACTTTTGCCCTTCCTAAATACAAAATCCAAAATGTAGAACAACATTTGTAAAAAAAAAGTAGTATTGATGTCAAGAACCCTAAAGACTGAACTTTTAAATTAAACATCAATAGACTAATCAAAACTAAGAGTGTCTTCACATGAAAGCAAAGAAATAAAAATAACAGGACAAATCACTGAAAAAATTGGATTTCTCTAGTAGTTTTCGGTTTTTATCTGTTGTATCAAGAAAACTAGATCCTAGAAGACAGAAACATAAGTCTGACAAGTGTCGGAAAAATCAAACAAGAGTCCCCACACCCGTAAGACATTGACGGGGAATCTAAACGCGTGCTTAAAAAAAATTGTTTTTTTTTTCTGTTTTAACCCACCTTGTACATTTTTAAGACAAATCTCAAACATGCAATCTAAGAGATTAAATTAAATATGCATTGAAACTATACAGTGAAAAATTAAAGTCAATAATTTTAATTAGGATATTTTTAACACTTCTAACACTATCGGTGTCGGTGTACTATGTCTTTGACATTATCGGTTTCAAAGTGTGTGTCTCAGGTCCTAGTGTCTGCATCGGATTCGGTGCTCCATAGGATATAAGTCCCTGATAATAGAAACACACAAAAGCTTCAACACTGGAAGAAACACAAACTTCAACAACAACATGTACAAGATCAAAAGTCGACTTCAAGAAAGATTCGCTCTTAGGGTTGAAAACAAAAATAATTTAAAAAAGATCACCGAATCAAAAGGCTAAGCTGCTGCATGCTTCGAAGAAGGTTATTATTTTGACAAACCAAACTGCAGAAAAAAATGTTCAAAACTCAATTTGCATGTCTTCCAATATAAGCCAGGAAAAAGAAAAGAAAAAGAATCTTTGAAGAAATCTGATGTATCTATCTGGAGCTATTCTCTGTTCTTGTGTGTCGTATCATGAGTTTTTAGATATGAAGATATATTTTACTTACCAAACTATCAAATGAAAACATGTGTCAAGTCAGTTTCATGTGTAAATGCTTCATACATTATATCTATAAATTAAACAAATGATTCATAGTAACTTAAATCCATTATTAAAACACGATCAGCCATATGAGATAACGTATGAAGTTACAACGCAAATCCATTATGAAAACACAAGCAGCAATCTGGGAAAACGTCCCCATTAAAGATTAACAATCTGAGAAAATGTATCAAAACACAACGCAAATCCATCAAGAAAACACATTCAGCAATTTGAGGAAACATATCAATACACAAGGGAAATCCATTAAAAAAACATGATCAGCAAACCCTAACATCAAGCCAGATGGAACAAACATCAAGCCATGATGGAACAAACAATTTGAAAAAGTCATATGTCAGAGAAATAAAAAATATTTAAGTACAGAATTGAAGAAATTTGATTACTCTAAAGGCATTCTCCGCTATCCATTACATCAAGAATCCCAAATCGCTGCAAAACAGATAAACGAATATCTTGATTATCCAATGAAAAATTATATCAAAAAATTCTTGATAACTGATCCATAAAAGAAAAGTCGAATGATTCGGAAAATTCTCAATTTCTCTAAATAAGACAGTGTAAAACGTTGGATAAGATACATATGGATTTAGAATTAATATTGTATCATTCAAATTTGTATATCAAATATTATCATTTGAATTCATTGTATCTTTGCAGGATAAGCTATGAATTTTTATGGGATATAAATCTAATATAAGATGGATATTTCAACTAGCTGAACATCAAATAGATTCTTAATTATAACTTACCATATAAGAATAGTTATAGTAGAACTATTTGAAATTTAATTATAACTTACCATGCAACCCAACCAACATGTCCAAAATCTCAAGAAATTGCAGTGAACAAAACCATGCAGAAATTACAAACAATAAAAACTGAACAGTTACAAAAGAAATTAAAATAACAAATGCTCTAAAATTGAAGGATTTAGGGATTTATATACAAATAGAGAGAAATAGGGGAGAATTGAAGGATTTAGGGATAAATATACAAATAGATAGAAATAGGGGAGAATATTTATATACAAATAGAGAAAAAGGGATTTAGGGATTTATAACACAACCGACAGAATATTTATGCTTGGACCAATTGCCATCAAATTGAAGATTTTGGACCTCAATATGAGCCACAATTTACCGAACACCGGATGGAGATACTTCACCAAATATGCCAAAGAAGATATTCATCGAAACATAAGCCTCAAACACGCTGTTCACTTGCAAAATGAAACAAGTTTTCTACAGAATCTTGCTTAATTAATCCTGGCAGGTAAGACAATCAAAAGATAACTGAAAAAATACACAAATAGAAAAAATGATCAATTTTGTCACAAGGTTGGGGTAAATCTCAGCAGCCACTTTAAGAGCCCACAAATAGGACCTATAGCACCGATGATAATAAAATCAGAGAATTAAAATTGCAGATTCTAAGTAACAATCACTGGAACGTACATGACTCGAATTCCTTAGAAAATATCTTACAGTCTGCAGAATATGATGGTTCCAATAATGAATTTGGGCGCCCGATGAAATCCTTAGAGGAAATGAATTTCTATTCCTATATATAATCAATAACACGAACTGAGAGTAAAAGAGTACAAGAATAACTCTTTGGATGTAGATCACATGCCCACAAATTGATATAACATAGAGAAGGTAGCAATGTTGTGCATGAAAGCAAGGGAGGTCTCTTGTGGAACAAATATATACAGGTATGTTAACAGTAATAGTCATTGTCAACACATTAAACAAACCAAGACTTGATGCTACAAAGTAATTAGTTGCTTTAACACAGTAAGCCTGATCAAAACCTGATAACAAAATAAAAAATATTTCAATAATGAACTTAGAAAGGAATTTAGTGTCACAAAATCACATGTCCAATAACTCCCACGTGACCTTTTTCAATATTTTTGGACTTGCCACTGGAAGTTTGCTAATTTGAGATTGAGTAAACTTTCCCCTCATGATAAACACATCCTCACCTGGTCCAGAGAAGACTTACGGTTGGTCATGTTTTGTAACTACGCTGCATTCACATGATGGATTTTAGAGCTTTTCACAAATTTAATTTTGAATAATATGGCATGCCGATGTCCAAAGTTTTGCGAAACACAAGTTCAAATAAAATGGAACTACTTTAGCCAAACAAACAGTACACCAGCCGCTGTTTCAGAGTAGAGTTATTGGTAAGCCAAATGAGAACTGATGTATTGAAGGTGATAAAATAAGAATGAATTCACAAACTGAGGAAGATAGATCCCGAAGAAATCACATGGTCAAAATTTTCTCCTATGATCACAGAAACCACCAACATTACCATATTACACCATCAAAACATAACTTCTATCCATAGCAAGTACATTTAAGAAAAAAATGGCCTGTTTTATCCTTAGGGTCAAAGCATGTCCTTGATAATCTCGTCATTCACAGTCCATATAATCTCTGTGACACTCACATGGAATTTAAGGAAACTAGAATCCCAAGGTACACAGAAAAGAGAAGAATTCATATTCAGAGTATAGATCACCGGATAAAAACAGAGTAACCGTGATAATATATGCCACAGCCAATTGCAGATTGGTGCTCCATGTGAAAAAGAAAACTTTTGGCCTTCCCTACTTAGAAAAATATCCATTTGTGGCTATTCTTCTTCTTATATATAATAACACATATGACAAGAATGTAGTAGAGTAATCATAACAGAGGAAGTGGCTAACAGAAAAAAAGTGATCCAAACCAAATTGTCAAGAATTCCTTGGCCCGGACAGAAAGATGTACTATAATCTTGAATCTTTTATGCTTCAATATTATATTTCTGCTACAAAAATACAAAATCTCAACGTTGGAAGAAAAGAATAGTATGTTAACCTCTATTGCCACAGGCCACAACACACCAGACTTTGATAGGATGTCTTTGTCTCCCCTATAAGACTCGCACAAAATTCAAAGGAATTCAAAATTGCCGAGTATCAATCACACTGAAATGTTAATTGTCTTTCTTATTAGAAATGACCAAATTAAAGAATGCAACACAACCTCTGAAAAAATGATGGTTCCCAGGCACAAACTTTCAGCCAATTTGCAAGTACTTGTACCCAATATGAAACATGACAGTTTGAGCTTCCACCTAATACCAAATGAGCTATTGGGCCTACATCATAAAACAGAAATAACAACAGACCCCAGGGGACAGATCGTCAAAACATACCTAACTAAGTTGCCCAAATTAAATACTAGAAAATATATACCCCGACTAGCAGAACAATTTGGATTACGTATCCTTCTGTATTCTTTCAGCGGAGATAATTTACACAAATCAGATACACTTATCTCCAATTTTGTCCACTACAGACCAACTAAAAGGTGGGAGTGTGATTCAGAAATAAGAAAACTTTTGTACAACTAACTTACTCTGTCAGCAACAGACGATTGATGTACAGAAAAAATTAAACTCTGACCTATAGGTTGTAGAAAGAGAGCCAAGAAGAAAAAAAGAATATTATATAATTCTCCAAATCAAGTTTCATATCAGCATAACAGAGAGAGGCCCGCAAATTTGTCTGGTTGTCTCAAAAATTAAGTAAGCTTTTGCACTTTCTAAATACAAAAACCCAAATGTAAACAAACATTTGTAAGAAAAAAGTAGTGTTGATGTCAAGAACCCTTAAGACTGAACTTCTCAATTAAACACCAATAGACTAATAAAAAATAAAACATCCAATTGAAATCACAAAGGAATACCAAAATAAACTCGAGGATTGATACTACACAAAATACACCACGTCAGAAAACAGAGCCATATTTCAATTCACATGTATGGCGATAAAAGCCAGAACAAAATCAAAACTCAGAATCAAGAAACCAGAAAGGAATCAGAATACAAAACAGGAAGAATAATATGCTCCAGAACTACCATTCCTGCAACACCAGATGAAATAAAAGATTTTAAAAGAGATCACCAAATAAAAAACTACGTTCCATGCTATATTGAAAATTATTTTGATAAACCAAGCTGCTGAAAAACATGTTTAGAATTCAAATCCCATGTCTTGTGATCAAAGTCTCAATAAAAATAATAAAGAACGTCTCCTTTGTATGTCTTGTGATCAAATTTTTAAAATAAAATTAATTAAGAACGACTCCTTTCAATAACCATTATTATTCTTATCCATTGTAATCAAGAAATGCAAACTGCTCCAGATACCAAGAAATGTACATGTCAATATGCTTTTAATTTTAACAGCATTGAACGATTAATTTTAACATCATTGATTGAACGATTATGCAAAGGAGTAAATCAAGAAAACAAGACCAAAATGAGTAAATCGAGAAAACAAAACCATAAAGGAGTAAATCGAGAAAATAGGGTGATAAAACTATATAGAAGAAGTGAAATGGAAAGATTGTAATCAAGAAATGCAAACTGCTCCAGATACCAAGAAATGCACATGTCAATATGCTTTTAATTTTAACATCATTGATTGAACAATTAATTTTAACATCATTGATTGAACGATTATGCAAAGGAGTAAATAGAGAAAACAAGACCAAAATGAGTAAATCGAGAAAACAAAACCATAAAGGAGTAAATCAAGAAAATAGGGTGATAAAACTATATAGAAGAAGTGAAATGAAAAGAATTCTCAATCCAAGAATATATTTTAATAAAAAAACCTGATTGCTTGATTTTACATTGCTAGATACTACACAAGTTTCAATTTGCAATTTAAGGCGATAAATGCAAAACATTACCATTATTTGATATCAATTTGCAATACCTTAAAACAGAAAATTCAAACCAAAACTCCAGGGGGCTGCCAATAAGTGCTGCCAACAAATTAAATGCAAAACACCCATATGTACACAAAGAATAATAGTTGACCCAAAAGAACAATCATTTAAAACCCTAACAATATCCAAGGTCAAAACTAACAAAAACAAAATCAAACCTAAGAATCAAGAAACCAAAAAATCAACAGCCACGATGATCAAAAAAGAGGAAAATAGAACTAGAAGAAATTGTGTGTATCCTGCAACACCAATGAGTAACACCAAATCAAGGAAGATAAGCTTTCAGAATTGATAAAGAAATTGAAAATAAAAGGAATTTAATAGATCACCAAATCAATAATCAAAATGCCTTGAAAGACACGTTCAGAAATCAATTTGTATGCCTTGCAATCAATAGGAGGAAATAAAAAATAGTAAAGAACGGCCCATTAAAAACTTTGATTTAGCTATCTGTTATTTTCCATTCTTGTTGTTGTATCAAGACATTCTGAATTTAAATGAAGAATTAAATATAAGTTATTGAAACAATTATAGTCAACAAATAACTTTACAATCCAGAAATTGAAAACATATCCTCTCCTGCAACACCAAAGAGAATATAAAGTCAAAAAATTAAAAATAATATACTCTCCTGCAACACCAAAGAGAATATAAAGTCAAAAAATCAAAAATAATATACTCTCCTGCAACTTATAAGAGTAAATGACAAAGCACAAACCATTTGAAAAATTGGATTTATCTAGAGTTGTTATCGAGCACAAACCATTTGAAAAATTGGATTTATCTAGAGTTGTTCTCCACGGCTTTTGAAATCCTGTTACACTCAGATGGAACTTAAGGAATCATGAAAACTAGACCCAGAAAGACAGAAGAAATAAAAAAAATATGGCCAGTAAAGAAGAAATCCAAAAACAGAGAAAATAGAAGACAAGAGCAAGAAAAAAGTAATTTTAGAATCAAGAAATCAAAAGTACATCCTCTCCTGCGACCCCAAAGAGTAAATAACAAGTCAAGAAATTTATGCCCTATAAAGAATCAAGAAATATTAAACGAAAAAGAATTTACAAGAGAGGGACAAATCAAAACAAAGAAATAAAAATAACAAATTGGATTTCTCTGTGGTAGTTCTCAGTTCTTATCTGTTGTATCAAGAAAACTAGATCCAAAAGTAAGAAATATGAAGAATTCATAGTCAGAGTAGAGATCCCCAAATAAAAGGATGACAATGAGAATATATATGAGTCTATGACAGCCAATTACAGATTAGTGTATGTGTGTAGTGGCAATACTTACACTTCTTCATTGTGTGATACACATGAAAATGATGTGACACAAGTTTTCATAGAATATTAGTCCCAAATAATAGAAACACACAAAAACATCATCATCCAAAGAAACACAAACTTCAACAACAACTTGTACAAGATCAAAAGACAAATTCAAGAAGATATGTTGTCAGTACTGAAAACAAAAATAATTTAATATAGAACACCAAATCAAAAGGCTAGGCTGCATGCTTTGTGAAAAAGGTTATTGTTTTGACAAACCAAGCTGCAGAAAACATGTTCAAAATTCAATTTGCATGTCTTGTAATAAAAGCCAACTTATCTAATTTATATATTTGGAACTGTTCTATGCTCTTGTGTGTGTCGTATCAGTCAGCTTCATGTGTGTACTTCATAAGATCTGAGAAAACGTATCAAGGTGCAACGCAAATCCATTAAGAAAACAATCAATCTGAGAAAACGTATCAAGGTGCAAGACAAATCCATTAAGAAAACAGATCCATTAAGAAAACACAATCAGCCATCTAAGAAGAACACGGTCTGCAGTCTGAGAAAATGTATCCATTAAGAAAACGTATCATAATCCAGATAACGTATCAAGATGCAACGCAAATCCATTAAAAAACACGATCAGCAATCTAAGAAAACGAAACAAATCCATTAAGAAAAGAGGATTAGCAAACCCTAACATCAAGCCATGAAATTTGATTTCTCTAACCGTTCTCTGTTCTTATCCATTACATCAAGAATCACCACTCGCTGCAAAACAGAAACGAATATCTTGATAATCCAATGAAGAATCATATCAAAAAATTCTTGATAATTGAATTGATCCGTAAAAGAAGAGTCTAATGATCCGAAAAATTCCCAATTTCTACAATCCAAAAAGCATATCAATAAACAAATCCCTAACAATCGTAAAAGGAGAGATAGATAACGAGAAAAAATATGTAACAAGCTATTTTTGCTATTTTCCAAAGAGGGTGGAGAGGTTTATATAGAAGGTGGAAGCGGGATTAACGGCTCTGATATCGCAGATGGAAGAAAAATTGACGGTGATGATGCAATTAAAATAAAACTGTTACGCGTTTTTCTCAAATGCGGTGTAAAACGCTTGATAAGATATAGATAGATTTAGAATTAAAATTAAAAATTATGTAGGTAATTTTACAATATCATTCAATAAAATTAGACGGTTTAAAGTCAATAAAAATAATAATTAACTTTAATTTTTTAAAATAATAATATAATTTATCATTTAATATAATTATAACTGATTGACGATATAAAAATATTTTATCATATAAATAATAATTAACTTTAATTTCTTAAAATGATAATATAATTTATTATTTAATATAATTATAATTTATTAACGATATAAAAATATTTTATCATATCAATATATTCTTTTTTTTTTAGAATTAATGTCATATTATTAAAATCTGTATATTAAATATTATCATTTAAATTTGTATATATATTTTATAGAATATAAGATATGAAATTTGTATGGATATGAATATGATAATGATATAGATGAATATTTTTGTTTTTTTTATTTAAATAATGGGCTGTTGAAATTATTTTTAATCGGTAATGTTAATCTCTTAAATTCTATAAGAAGTTAATAGTATATATATTATGTGGTTTACTTTCGATTAAATTTTTATATAGACTTAAACAAAATAAAGTGAAATAAAACTATGATTGCAATAATAAAAATTAGTATATTTATAATGAAAATATAATGCTATAATTGAAATTCAAAATAATAAATAATAAATGTTCTTTTATTACTAACAATATACTTAAACCAAAACAAAATTTAGAGTTTTATTTTTAAATTATTATAAAATGAATTTATCTAATAATATCATGACTTATTATTAAATATTGGTATAAATTGTTTTGTAGAATATAATTTAAAATTTTTTTTATTTTTTTTATTTTTAAAAAAAAAACTAAACATACTTTCTTGTTAATACTCTTTCTCATACTCATTTTTTTGTTAGAAAAACAAGATGTGAGTTTACTTCAAAAATAATTCTCAAATAATTATAAATTATTTTAAAAAAGTAAAAACAAAATTGTAATTTTTTTGAAATATTTGATCAGTAAATTAACAAAATAAACATGTAATATAACTAATAAAATTATTAATAATAATAATAATAATAATAATAATAATATAATAATAATAATAATAATAATAATAATAATAATAATAATTAAATATTTATCCGTTGAAATTTTTTATTTTCTATCTATATTTGTGGATATTAACTAGAAGTATATATGGGTGGATAATAATTATTAACAAATATATTTATAATAATTTACAGATTAGACCATTTTTAAAATACATCAAAATTTGAAAATAGTTTAAGATACTAAATAAAAAAGCAAACGGAGATTTTATTAGTTGAAAATAATTATTTTCTATTTATATTTATGGATGTTATTTATTACTCCCTCCATTCTTATTTATAAGAAAATTTTAATTTTTTAGGTTCATTGAATAATTGATGTATCTGACCAATACATAGTCTAAATACATCATTTATTTAATGAATCTAAAAAGTCAAAATTTTCTTATAAAAGAGAATGAAGGAGTAACTCAGAAGTATATATCGATGGATAATAATTATTAACAAATATATTTATAATAATTTATAGATTAGACCATTTTCAAAATACATCAAAATTTGAAAATAATTTAAGATACTAAACAAAAAAGCAAAGAGAAGTTGGAGATTGTATAACAACTTATTAATAATTACACATAACAAAATCATGTTAAATGTCGTTGTTGAACAAGAAATATAGACTTCAGAGGAGAAAGGACTTCATAGAAGAGAAAATATTGCATATTTGTAATCAAATATTTATCAATTATATAATTATATATTATTGAAACAAACTCATAATATAATTTAAAAAATAAAACTAACAACAACAAAAACGTAGATTGAGATAACTTGAGTATTTTTCAATATCATTTTAAAATAATCATAAGTAAGTAATATTTAAATGATTAGTGATACAAATTGTTATCGGTGGTAAAACGGGTCTGACCCTGTCGAATATGTTTATTTTATCTGCATTATTTTACGGAGCAAATCTAGGTTTTAGGCTCGCACTCCCTATTATGGTTATCTCTTCTATTTTTTTCAGAAGCAAGCATTAACGAGACGGGCGTGAATTTTTGTAAGTTTTAGCAGTGTCTATCAGGCCCGCCTCGGCCAACACTCATTTTTTAGCGGAAAAGTAAAAATTTTAGACCTGTATTATCTACTATGTTGGCTATGCTTTGGCCTGTTTTTCGTGGGTGTTGTACCCCAAAATTTATCCTCCCATTTTTGAAGACAATTGATTCAAGATACCTCCTCGTGCTCCTAGGATTCTCAATTGCTCAATAATACTCAAGGGTTTGAGCATACAAGCATCTCTCCTAAGCAACGGCCTACAATTAGGTTTTGGTTTTCTCAAGAAAAATTGGACTCCTAATGCATCAAGTGAGTTTCATGGTTTCTCATATGCTTCAAGGTACCCTCATGACAAGTTTCAAGCCTTGCATCACAAGTTTGCTCAGTCAATTGCTCAGATGATTGAAAATCAACTGTATTGGATAAAAAGTCAATTATGGTCAACATACAGTCAAACTTCAAGATTTTTTATCAACATTAATATTTTGAAGTCACATTCATCATTTGATCAAGGGTTTATCATGATTCATCAAGAAAACTCAAGATTCATCAAAAGACAAAAGTTACCAAATTAGGGTTTTCTTAAGGAGAAGTCAACTGAACTTTGACCAAGCATAACTTTCACATGCTTCATCATAAATTCCTCAACCAAAGCCTATCTTGAATGAAATTCAATTCTCTACAACTTTGTCGCTTAAGCTCAAGGCAAAAAATGCTTCATTTGAGAGATATAGGCCAAAACATTACATGTCATTTTAAAAGTCAACAAAAAGACATCTTTTGTCAAAGCAATTTACATCAACTTAAAGACTTTAAATGAAAAAGTGGCCAACATGAGAGTTGTAGGGAACATTTTGATTTTTCTAAAAAGTCTAATATCACCTTCATATGACAAAATTTGAGAGAGTTATGATTAGCGCAAGTTAAGCAATTTTGAGAAAAATGCATGAAACCACAATTGAGCAGTTTTAGACTTTTAGACTAATGAGCCTAACTTTTGAAGTTCAAACATGTTTATGACATGTTTAGGGACTCCTAAATCCATTCATGCATTATTTTAATTTTTTATTTCATTTATTTTGATTTTATTCATTTAAATTTAAAATTAAATTAAATAAAGATTAAATAAATGTACAAGGCACGTGGACTTTTATTTTGGATCATTTTGAAGCCCGAGATCACATATCCAACATAATAAAACCATGAGGGATGAAGAAGGAAAGAGATCTTCATATTTTGGAAAGTTTTGCAATTATTTTGGAAACAAATAATGACTTTGATTGCACATGTTTCCTTCCAATAATGTTAACTTAAAAAATCATCCATTATAAATAGATGTCACACTTTATAAGACAAGGATACACGAATTAACTGCCATAGAAACAAGTTCTCAAACACAAAATTTTCAAAGAATAGGTGAAAATCGTATCCCAGTCTTCCAGTCATTCTCAACTGAAATGAAGCCTCGAATCATCATTCTGACATCCCTAAGAATCTCCTCAACTCCATAACCACGCTCAACCATGCCCATAATGCCTTCACTCAATCACACCGGTGGTAAGGATTTTCTAATTTCAAATTTCTTAATTCTTGTATTATTA